ATATATATATAATCTGTGGTACAGCTATTGTGCCATCGAAGTCATGGCTGAATAGGAGAACAATATGAATAATAAGAAAAGAGCAACAACAAATATGAGTCACATCTGTGTTCCATCTAAAGTGCACAGCCTGGTACGAGAGCCAAATATGAGCGAAGAGCAAGCTGCGTTCCGCTCTGACAGGACTTGTGTCGACCACATCTCCACTCTCTGTCAAATACTCTAGCCTTGTCAAACGTACGGTCGTCCAACGATCATTGTCTTCTTAGAAATACGAGCTGCGGTTGACTCATTTGACCGAGCTGTTCCCTGGAGCTGTCTATTGAGGTGAGTATCTGAGAAGCACATCAACATTCTTCAAGATATCTACACTCCAACCTCGGGACGAGTGAGGATGTACGGAGAACACTCGCCCGCCTTTAGTATCACCAGTGCCGTTAGACAGGGCTGCCCAGCATAACCCGTCTTGGTCACTTTCGTTGCACATGACATCCTGGAGAGCGCTCTGGAGAACGGCGGCGTTGAACTGTTCCGGGAGATCGACTTCGGGATCTGGAGTATGCAGACGACATCGCCGTAATCTGCGATTCCTCACAATCCGCCGAAAATGTCCTATGCAGTTTTGGAGGTGTCGGTCTTTCAGTATGGAATGACTTCCGCTCCCTCGAAGTATGAAGTCTTTGTACAAGACTAGCAAAGAGCTGTTCCCACCTTTTAAGTCACTCTCCGGAAATAGTAGACAGGTTCATTTACCTCGGAAGCTACATCAGCGCTAACAGTTTAATGGATGAGGTCTTTTTGCGCGTCACTAAAACCCGGGTTGTGTTTGCTAATCTCCGCCATCTGGCGTCGACGCGATCTGAGCCTGTCCTAGAAGGGCCGAGTCTACAATGCCACGGTGAGAGCGGTCCTGCTCCACACTTGTGAGACGGCCTGTTCGTGCAAAAGACGTTCAGAGGCTGTCTGTTTTTGATCATCGCTGCCGCCGGATCATTACTGGAGTGCGATGGCAACATCATATTAGTAATGAGAATGTTCGCCGAAAGATTTTCAGCTTAGACAGACTTTGTCGGCCGCTGAGCCGCACAATTTCACTGCACAGGCTTCAGTGACTTAGGTGCGTGCTTCGCATGCCTACTGACCATTTGCCTCACCATGAACTCATTGCGTGCACCGAAGTCGGCTGGAAGCGAAGATAAGGTGGTCTGCGAATGACTTGGGCTTACAGTATGAAAGGGCTGATCTCACATTTGGCCGCGGTCGGCCGCACTCGACTTCCTGGTTGGGGGCGCAAGGATCACGAGCACACATGGCTGGAAACCCTATCAAACATGTCAAGAAACCGTGAACCATGGCGAACCCGTGGTGAGACCCTGCCTCGATAACCGCTGTTCTATACTTCTTCTTGTCCATATATACTTTACCACGCTGAAGAATGAAAGACAACGTTGGTTACAAACCTAAGTTACGTAAGAAGATAGTATGAATTACAAGCATACTACTTGCGGACGTGAAAGATAAGCGTGGTATTCAAAGGAATCTTAAGCACTGAACGCGTGGCACTCACATTATTTACCATGAGTCATAGAATGATTTCCTACTAAACACGAGGGCAATATATATATATATATATATATATATATATGCGCACAAAAACTATCAACAGCTAAGAATCAGCACCACATAGACCGACTACGACCATCCTCTTATCCTGGCCTAGACGGTCTATCAACTTCCTTGTAAAATACGGTGGCCATGATATTCCACTTTTACTCTTAAATTTGTTTACCATGTCTATGGAGTCGAGCATTTTTCCAATCCAATGGAAACTCGCGCCGGTCAAGCCTAGGCACCAAAATGGCCCAGACATACGAAACTACCGGCCGATTAGTTACACTTCTACTGTTGCGGGAGTAATGGAGCGAATGGTCAAAGAGAAAACAATAAACCATTTGCTCTCACAAACCTGATTAATCAGACTCAGCATGGTTTTGTACAAAACGATCATGACAAACATGCCAGCTGGAATTCCTGAACTGTTTGTCGAACTCTGTGGATAATGGCCATGCAGTTATCACCATTTTCATTGACATGCGAAAAGCATTCGATAGAGTACCGAAACGTTACTTGTAGGGGAAAATATCACAATTTGGCATCATAAAGCCCCTGCATCATATCTTACTGATCGCACTCAACAAGTGCAAACAGGTATTCATAGGTCGTCATCGCTGTCTGTTACTAGTGATGTGATCCAAGGAAGTGTGCTTGGTCCACTGCTATTTTTGATGTAGCTTAATGACATAGCAGACGCTAGTAAAAATGGCACAAGCTACCTTTTCGCTGATGGTATTAAGGTACTGTACACGTTTAATCCTAGAAATCTGGAACGCACTTTACATAAGATACGGAGACTTATTGGCTCTCGAAAGATGGTGTAACAACTGGCAAATGTCATTCACTGCGGATAAATGTGGGATATCAGCGTATGGATGCAAAACTGATATGGACATGTTATACCTCAGTGAAAAATCAAATCCATTCCGCGACACAATAAGAGACTTGGATATTCATTATTCGAGCACGCACAATTTCGGGGAGCAGCCAAAGCCCGTCAAACAGCGCGATTACTCTTCAAATCACTGATATTGCGTGATTTCAAGCTGCATATGTTCAAGATCTGGAATACTGTTCGATGATATTTACTAGTTGTAGGAAACACGATCGTCTATGCTTGGAGAAAGTGCAGCGTCGATTCACCAAAGCCCTATTTACCGAGTCCCCAACACGAAAGTATTCAGAGCGCTGTATACAGCTTAAATTAGAGCCGTTGTGGTTAAGGAGGTAGAAACTGGGCTCGTTGTTCCTGTTCGACTTAGTGCACAAACGGGTATTTGCCCCGCACACTAGCATACACTTCATTCAGAATGGAAGGAATAACATTAGGAATAAGAGAAATTCGCTTCCCGCAAGTAGAACAAAAACAAGTACATGCAGGAAGTCTTACCTAACGAAGTACTCGGATACCTGGAACAGGCTACCTACTGAATTGCGACTATTTGAATCTAAACAATCGTTTGGAAAAATGCTGGATACATACCGCACTGTGTTGCAAGTCAAAGAACTTTGAAACTGGACTGAAGAGTAGAGTCAATGTATGAAGAAGGGTTCAAGTATAGGGACACTGGGACAACTGCACGATAATATATGCAAATTGTATGAACAATATCTTCCTCGTTTAGTTAAACAATTAAATCTATTCCCATTCCAACATCGCATTATCTCGCTTTTCGCCGTGCAAAACTAAAGTTCCTTTCGCACGTTACATTTGCTGCGCACTGCTAATTGTTATCTCTTCTTTTCCAGAGAAAACACTCGAATATAAGTGACAGTTCTTGTTGCTCTCTGGAGTTCACTTTCCACCAATTACTCTACAACTCGATTGTCTGGAGTCGCTGGATCTATCTCAAAATCGTTCATAGAGCCGCTTTTTCCTTATTGCAATTTTTTCTGTATTCCCTTTTTACAACCTGAAGCAGAACTTATCAGATATATACCACTTATTCATCATTATTTGTATTTCGTCACCCTCTTTTTTCTATTGTTGAATACGACTGGACCGATCGCCTGAGGTGATGGAATGAAGCTCCTGGATTATTTAACACACCCACTGTGAGGAATTGTCACAGACCTATTGATGAGAAGAAATACGCCTCCTCAAGGCAAATTGGCACATACTCATCGAGTTGAAAAGGTGTCAGACTTGAAAGAGTTAGAAGCCGAAAGGCACTGAGTGAATTAAAAAGAGTAGTAAGAAACGAAAAACATGGGAGCTCACTTATCTTTGCGGGCCTATTATTCATAATATATAAGAACAGCCATAAAAATAAGCCAGTATAGTGATGGCTCGCTTGCTGTTATGACACATTGACATGAAGTCAAATGGGACTTGGAAATGTGGAAGAAACTTTTTGAGGGAATACTCCGCATGGAAGCAGGTCCTTTAGGAGTCGGTTATACAGTTAGCCGTATTAATCCTACTCAGTAACCACTTTTATCCTGCTTCAAACTCCCCTTTTACCATTTCTATTGACTGAATTCACAAAATCTTGATTTGGATCTATTCTGGAACATTTGAAATAAGATCTGCACTTTTAGATAATGTTGTACCGAATGGTCAGCAAAAGTAGTTAGACTGCATCCCGCAGTCGAGAAATATACATACTCTATACTCATAATACCTTCTTACGTAAGTTAGGTTAGTAAAGCCGACTGTCTTTCGTTTTACGGCAAGATATAGGATAGCTTCTCGGAAATGCTCGGGTGTGTGGATCGTGGCAGCTAAACCTATGCCAGAAGCTAGTCACCTGTAACAGGTAAATGAGCAAATTGTGACTGAAGTGCGACCAAGACAGACTGCAACGCGGTCTGTGTAGGGTAGTGATCGTAATTCGTTTATCGGAAGTTATGCAAAACAGTATGAAGGTGAAAGTTAAAAAGACGAGCAACGTCATTAAAAACACCGGGGTGTTCGTCACAGTTTTTTGATTTACGCTCAGGTGTGTTAGACAATCACCTGTCATAGGTTAAACCAAAGATGATACCCTTGCATAATGTAGAGAATAACAATTACGGGACCAAGAGGAGTTGGTATGATGTAAGGATAGAAAATTGAATAGACAACCGAGGGAAAAACTAAGATATAAGTTTGCAAGTAAGCAGAAAAAGTAAAGGTTTGTTCTAAAATGTGTTAATGATACAGGATAAAAAGTAGTGCAAAAGATGAGTCCTGTAACGCCATAGCCCCGTGTAGAGTCGGTAATTCGCAACACTGCACAATGAGATAGACCTCGTTTTCATTCTTACTCCATTGGCAAGGAGTGCATGAAGGAAATTATAATCGCCGTCTGAAGACCTTTAGTAGCAAGCTACTCGGTTCAGCACACGACACTTGTGAGGTCAAACAGGAATTCAATAGGGTGAAAAGTTTTCAGAGCGGTAAACTTGAAAACTTTGTACTTCGGATACGTTTTGGCCGAGCGAGATGAATGGGGCTCGCTATAGTGCAGCCGACAGTGCTTAATAGCACAACGGCATCCAGAGGCTAAGTAGTACAACGGCCAGTTGCGTCGGGTAAATATTATCACAAGTGACGCAGCAATGTGCGATAACTAATTACAACTTCCATACACATTAGTGAAAGTCAAACTAGACTTGCCGACGCACTTGTTGATCATAAAGTCTTTCCATTTGCAGTGGCTTCAAAACATCAGTAGCGAACTGTGGATGGGTGAATGAATCTCGTATCTTTTCGAGTAATAGATTCTGCACCGTTTTCTCCGACTTCGGACTGATTTTCTGCGGCTTATAGGAAACATGCATAACTGGCAGCTTTGATTCATCGTCTGGCTTCAAACTACCAGCTAACATGCGGATGAAAGTAGTCTTCCCAGTCCCGTTTTCGCCCAACATGACCACAATTTCGGAGTCAGTAAACGAACCGGGTTCCACGACCAGTTCGAAATTCCCCAACTTCTTGGTCATTCGTGGATAGTCGTACCTTGCATGGCGTTTGACCTCCTCTTCACTAGCATTTTCCGACACCTGAAGTGAAAGAATAAAAAGTTTCAGGAGAGCAAAAGCGCTCAGGAAGTGTGAGTAAACAAAAGTCAGTTCAATTTCAGATTCACTAGGAAAACAATGTTCCGGTGGGAGTCGGTGTGATGAGCGGCTTTGTCTATTAACAACTGCTCCACCTGTATGAGCGATAAGTGAGAAGTCCTGCATTGTCCAAACATTGTATAGAAGAGAAAGCGGAAAAAGAGCAGAGGAAGCAAAAATGCGTCCGCTGAGCAGAATTTAATGATCTGATATAGGTCCGTATGTCACAAGAAGCACTTGAGGTAAAGAAAAAACAGTATACTCCAGGTTCGCTAACGAAATTTCTCATAGTCGATTAACCAGTCAGAAAAAAGAGAAATGAGAAGGCTTATTGAACAGGAAAACCATGATCCAAGAGTCTGTATCGGCAAATACAACGGTCATGGTAATAACAATAAATAATTAGTGGTATACCCTGAGGAGTTATAAAGAATCGACTGCACTTTTTGCAAATATTGTTTACAATCCATGACCAAGGTTCCCGACCCTCTAGCTGGTTTGGCGATTATAATATCTTTCTCTAGTTCAGATCCTCTTACAACCAATGTAGACCTTTATTAGCAATGAGAAGTATGTCATGGGAAAGTTTTGAGATTGACTAACAAGTTCGAACCTCTGCAAGCAAAAGAGGTTCGTTTTGGCATTACAACTTCCGTAGCCAGTAGTTAGATTCAGCCTAGGTGTCAATAATCATTTGAGTACTCAATGCGCCACATGAGAACTGTATTAAGCCCCATAAGGAATAAATCGTAGATGATAGTTTACGTAAAGTATGTCGTTTGCGTTCCTTCTCAATACACACGATTAATGGGCACTTTAAGTGAAATTAAGCACTCCAAATGCGTCCGCGTGCTCAAAGAACCTAATCAGTGCATTGATTTCTATATGGGACTTATAGAAGTGGGAGCACGCGTTGAATTCCAAAAGCATTACATTGAGATGAACGACTACCCAGTATAGCAGTAAACTCCAATCCACAATTTACCACACTGTTAAGTTAAAACCATGGGGATTCGTCAGCTTGATGCAACGAAGGCATATAATGCACGATAAAGTGAGGACATTCCTAGGACGGCGTTAGCCGCCAAGTTAACAGACACTAGTGTGACGCCAGGTGATGACTTTCAGCCAACTGTGGAAATTCAGTGTTTCCCTAAGTGCTCCGACAATATGTGAACGACACATTAGGGCAAGATGGACATTCCCCTGATCCATACAGCTATACTGGCCAGCTAATTTGCGTACGAAACCTAAGAAAACCACAAGGCCTTTTTGGTGTGTTGTCAGGGAGAGTAAAATCATCCAGGAAAACGCATTAATTCAATGGGTATGTGTATGTAATCTCAACAGTCTAGCAACTAGACATAGGGCCAACAAACCCATGGAGATTAGCAGATAAAGGGAAGTCACTGCGTAATAATCATCGTGGCATATTAGTTGAAGGTGAGCAAAAAACTAAAGCTACTATGCCGTAAGAAGAAAGGAACATTTTGACAAAAAGTAGGACAAAGATTTTTAGTTCGTTTTTCACACTTCGTCATTCTCAGTGTTTGAAGTATTAAACATGTGAATCAATACATTTCTGTACACAACCTTTCCACTGATTCCGGTTGCGGGCCATGTACTCAAGAAAGTTAAGCCATTGGCACTCCTCATCTTTGGGTCCGCATTCTGGAAGACGTACGGGTCCAACAGCGGCTAGACACGTCAGCGATTTCATGTGCTGTCGCTAAGTGGAAGGCTGAACACCACGCGGTCGCCTCCAGCCAGGTCCTTGACGAGCGAATAGAGAGAGACGCGGTAGACGTTCAGGTGCCATGCGTAGGACGTGACTTGGCCATCTCCACTGGCGCAGCAAAACCAGTTTGTTTAAGGGAATACTCACATTCCCTAAGATGCGACGTCGAACGTCATTACTTTTAACACGATGTTGCCACCAAACACGAGTAATCCTCCTTAAGCAACTGTTGTCGAAAACAAAAAGACAACGCATGTCCTCCAACCGTATCGGCCAGGACTCGCTCCATACAACAACACTGAACGAACAGATGCGCTGTAAACGCAGCCCTTTAGCGAGAATGAGATGTCGCGACAATGCCACAAGTGCTTCAGATTAACAAATGCTGATCGAGCTTTGGCGATGCGAAGAAAAAATTCTTTGCTAGTAGTCGTCATTATCATTATACACGTTAGCTGGAGGTGGGAAGCACCTCAGCTACTGTGCCACAATACATAAAAGAAAAAGAAAATAAATACAACAGTTGCATGACAGCTGAGCTACCGGTAACGGATGGGCATCGTTCCGGTAAGCTAACAGCCAGCTAATATGCAGTAAAAAAAATTTACTATGCAATATCATATAAGGCTAAGTAGTGAGATTGTGGTTAGAGAGAGAGGCTAAGATGGATGGGACAAACAAAGAAACTCACAGCACGAACATCACTGAGATCAACTCCTAGTCAAATCAGCAAGTGTATCCAGCCAAACATGTTCATTGTCTTTTGGACTCCAACCAAGGAGCCGAGATGTTCCAACCAAGGCCAGCTCCGAAGTGAAAGCCTTCATTCCTCTGGACCAAGTCATCGCTTGGCCACCCCTCCACTTCTTCCATCCACACCCCAGCCGCGCAAACAACGCATGTCGCGGAAGTCGGTGGGCAAGCATGCGTAACAAGAAGCCCAGCCATCGGAGCCTGGTGCGTGAAATAACGATGCTGAGCGGTTCAATTTCCTTTCCCGTGCCGTAAACAAGGCGGCGAACAAGCTCGTTGCTCACGCGGTGTTCCCACCAGATGTGAGCCAAATTGCAAAAACACCAGTGGTCGAACGTAACTAGCCTCTTTATGTCCGCCGATCTTAGGGGCCAGGTTTCGCAACCGTACAGTAAGGTCGAGCACACCGCTGCATTGTACACTCTATCTTCAGGGCGAGAGTGATGTTGCGCCGCGCCATAAATGGCGAAGGTTAGCAAAAGGGTCTTAAGCTTTTGCTATACGGTTCGTGATCTCATCTTCAATCCCAGTTAGTTGAATTTTTGAACGACTTCTAGCTGATAGCCACCAAGGGTCAGCGAAGGAGGCGGTCCAGGCCAATCTTGGAGGAACGCTTTGCACTTCGATGGTGTAAAGCAAAGCCCGAAGCGGCTGACAGCCAGTGCTAATCTGTCCAGTGCAGTTTGTCACGTCTGGGAGCTGTCACAGATGAGGGCAATGTCGTCTGCATACTCCAAGAAGTCGTTCTCTTGAGACTAGCTCCTCACCTAAGTCGTGTCCTGTGAACGCGATTTCCATCACTACGTCAATAGAGAAGTTAAAGAGGAAATGTGACAGTGGGCATCCCTACCTTACACCGCTGGAGATATTGAATGGCGACGACAGCTGGCCGTAAGCCCACATTCTGCCCGAGCTACGCGCGTATAATGGTCGGATAATATTTACATATTTCTCAGGCACACCTTTCCTGTCTATACAGTCCCAAAGTGCACGTCTATCCACCAAATCGAATGTACTTTTGATATCGAGGAACACGACAACGGTGGGCCGCCAATAAGTGTGAGGGTGCTCCAGCAAGTGAGACCAAGTGAAGATGTGATCAATGCAGCCACGACCTCGATGAAACCGGCTTGCTCTTCATGAATATGGCTTTCACAAGTGGCAGTCAGTCTGTGAAGGATGACAGAGGCAAGCAATTTGGAGGCGATGGAGATTAGACTGATTCCTCTATCGTTGCCGCATTCCGATCGCAAGCCTCCCTTGAAAACTGGAGCTATGACAAAGCGGCTCCAGTCGTTTGGGATAGCTTCCTGCTCCCACAGTTTCACAGTAACTCGTGTAAATCATTCACACAAGAGCAGGTCCCCCGAATTTGAAGAGGGCTGGAGGAAGATCATCTGGTCCCGTGGATTTGTTCAACTTCAACAGTACGATCTCACGTTCGACTTCTAAGCGAGAGGGCGGGTCCAAAGGGACAGCCAACTGATCAGGGCGATCACTGGCCGGTAAAAAATTTGACAATTCCGACCGATTAAATTGCCTTTCAAAGTGCTCAGCTCAACGCTCCAAGCGTTTTGAGAAGTTGTGAATAAGTTGTCCACTCTCGTCACGTATAGTTTCACTAATATCAGGTCTCCTGCTGCCCGTTTCCCGTATTAAACGGAATAACTTACGATGGTTACCAAGGGCAGCGGCCACTTTCCATGTCTGATGCACGATGAGATTACCAGGATTCGAGGTCTCTCTTCAGGCAAGCACGGAGTTTTGCCCGGATCTCTTTGAGAGTTTCATTGTGTTCGCTTCTAGCCGGAATATGCCGGTGAGTATCTATAGGTTCCACACATGTGCCCCAAATCGAGCGACAGTTCTGGACGAAGCATCTCCAGCAATAACTCATCGCAATGTGATCGATTTGTGTCCACAGATGGTTCGAGGCTGGTGGGCGCCAAATCACCCTCCGGCGGGTGCTGTGTCGGAAATTAGTGCTCGCAAGAAATAAGCGAGCATCTTCACACAAATGACGTAACCACTCACCGTTATCATTATGGGAGCCTACACCATGTTGGCCGCCCAGATGCAGTTTATAAATGGATAAATTTCCAACTTGAGCGTTCAGATCCCCAGCCAGCACAACAGTGTCCGAGCTTTTTCTGTGGCGAAGGAGCTCGTTCAGTTGGCGGTTGTGGGTGCAGAGGCAGCGTTAGTCCCGCGCGACTTCGAAGCTCTGAACGAGCCATCGAATCGGACCGCACACGTCCGGCTACTAACTGGAATCCAATCAACCATAGCACCTTCAGCCCAGGGAGTCAGAGCAATACCAACACCGATTTGGCCGGTGCTCGAAGCCGCATAGTCGCCGGATAAGCGCAATGAGAAAGTGCTGCTAGTGTCACCTGAAGGGGATCGCAGAGTGAGCACAGAGCTTGAGTCTTGCAGGCGGGTCTCCGATAAG